CGGGCGATTATTTCGATTCCTGCGTGTGAAATGGCTTGTGTGGGACGTGGATTTCCCTGCTTGCAGATACAGGACATCTCACCCCAAAAGCGGGGCCTTAATGTGCCTCGATGTGCTGCCCCAAATCCAGGCTTTTTTTATTGGAAAGACTCTGAAAATACCAAGGAGCAGCCGGTGCCGTGCGGTGGGAGCCAGAGCTTGGGCTCCATAGGAGAGAAGGAGCTTCCGAGGCAGCGGGAGCGTTTGCTCCGTGTGCTTCCTGAAGGGAATTTTGAGCCGGCGGAAGGTTTGCCAGGTCCAGGCTGTCCTTTAAGCTCAGACTAACTGGAGCAGCCATTGGATAAGGAAGGACCGAGCGAGCGGGGCCTGTCCAGCCTGGAGAGGAGCAGCCTGAGAGGGATGTGACCAACATGGACAAGGACCTGAGGGGAGAGTGCAGGGAGGACGGGGCCAAACTCTCCCGGGTGGTGGCCAGGGAGGAGGGGGCCAAACTCTCCCGGGTGGTGGCCGGTGCCAGGACAAGGGGTGACGGGGCCAAGCTGAAGCCCAGGCAGCTCCATGTCCATGTGAGGAAGAACTTCCTTGGTGTGAGGGTGCCGGAGCCCTGGCACAGGCTGCCCAGAGAGGCTGTGGAGTCTCCTGCTCTGGAGATCTCCAACCCGCCTGGATGCGCCCGGGTGCCCCGTGCTCTGGGTGTCCCTGCTGGAGCAGGGGGGATCCCGAGAGCTCCCTGCCACCCTCAACATCCCGGGATTCTGGGATCCTGTGAACACGGAGGCTGTGTGTTCCCTCCCTGTGGGGATCCCCTGTGTGTCCCTCTCCATGCAGATCCCATGCGTATCCGTCCCCATGCGGATCCAGTGCGTGTCCCTCCGTGCTGATCCCATGTGTGTCCCTCCCCGTGCTGATCCCGTGTCCCTCCCCGTGCGGATCCCGTGCGTGTCCCTCTCCATGCGGATCCCGTGTCCCTCCATGTGCAGATCCCACGTGTCCCTCCCCGTGTGGATCCCATGTGTGTCCCTCCGTGCGGATCCTGTGTCCCTCTCCATGCGGATCCTGTGTGTGTCCCTCTCCATGTGGATCCCGTGTCCCTCCCCGTGCGGATCCCATGTCCTTCCCCATGCGGATCCCGTGTCCCTCTGTGCTGATCCCATATGTGTCCCTCCCCTTGCGGATCCCGTGTCCCTTCCCGTGCGGATCCCGTGCTTGTCCCTCCCCGTGCGGATCCCGTGTCCTTCCCCGTGCGGATCCTGCGTGTCCCTCTGTGCTGATCCTGTGTCCCTCCTTGTGCAGATCCCGTGTCCTTCCCCATGTGCTTCCCTCTCCATGCGGATCCCGTGTCCCTCCCCGTGCTGATCCCATGTGTGTCCCTCCCTGTGCGGATCCCGTGTCCCTCTGTGCTGATCCCATGTCCCTTCCCGTGCGGATCCCGTGTCCTTCCCCGTGCAAATCCCATGTGTGTCCCTCCCTGTGCGGATCCCGTGCGTGTCCCTTCCCGTGCTGATCCCGTGTCCCTCCCCATGCGGATCCTGTGCGTGTTACTCCCCATGCGGATCCCGTGTCCTTCCCTGTGTGGATCCTGCTTGTCCCTCTGTGCAGATCCCGTGTCCCTCTGTGCTGATCCCGTGTCCCTCCCCATGCGGATCCCGTGTCCCTCCCCGTGCTGATCCCATGTGTGTCCCTCCCCGTGCTGATCCCGTGTCCCTCCCCGTGCGGATCCCGTGCTTGTCCCTCCCCGTGCGGATCCCGTGTCCTTCCCCGTGCGGATCCTGCGTGTCCCTCTGTGCTGATCCTGTGTCCCTCCTTGTGCAGATCCCGTGTCCTTCCCCATGTGCTTCCCTCTCCATGCGGATCCCGTGTCCCTCCCCGTGCTGATCCCATGTGTGTCCCTCCCTGTGCGGATCCCGTGTCCCTCTGTGCTGATCCCATGTCCCTTCCCGTGCGGATCCCGTGTCCTTCCCCGTGCAAATCCCATGTGTGTCCCTCCCTGTGCGGATCCCGTGCGTGTCCCTTCCTGTGCTGATCCTGTGTCCCTCCCCATGCAGATCCTGTGCGTGTTACTCCCCATGCGGATCCCGTGTCCCTCCCCGTGCGGATCCCGTGCGTGTCCCTTCCCGTGCTGATCCCGTGTCCCTCCTCATGCGCAGCCCGTGTCCCTCCCCGTGCGGATCCCGTGCGTGTCCCTTCCCGTGCTGATCCCGTGTCCCTCCTCATGCGCAGCCCGTGTCCCTCCCCGTGCGGATCCCGTGCGTGTCCCTTCCCGTGCTGATCCCGTGTCCCTCCTCATGCGCAGCCCGTGTCCCTCCCCGTGCTGATCCCATGTCCCTCCCTGTGTGGATCCTGTGTCCTTCCCCATGTGTTTCCCTCTCCATGTGGATCCTGTGTCCCTCCCCATGCAGATCCCACGTGTCCTTCCCCGTGTGGAACTCGTGTGTGTCCCTCCGTGCGGATCCCGTCTGGGATTCTGGGATCCTGTGAACACGGAGGCTGTGTGTTCCCTCCCTGTGGGGATCCCCTGTGTGTCCCTCTCCATGCAGATCCCATGCGTATCCGTCCCCATGCGGATCCAGTGCGTGTCCCTCCGTGCTGATCCCATGTGTGTCCCTCCCCATGCGGATCCCGTGTCCCTCCCCGTGCGGATCCCATGTGTGTCCCTCTCCATGCGGATCCCGTGTCCCTCTCCGTGCGGATCCCATGTCCCTCTGTGCTGATCCCGTGTCCCTCCCCATGCGGATCCCGTGTCCTTCCCCATGCGGATCCGTGTCCCTCCGTGCTGACCCTCTCCGTGTCCACGCAGGCTGCTCCTGGAAGGTGCGGATGTGAACGCGCGCCACGCGCTCGGCTGGACGCCGCTCATGGTGGCCGCCATCAACGGCAACGCCAGGTACGTCGGGCTCCCTCACCGTCATTCCAGGGATACCGGGATACCCCGTGGATATTCCATAGCCCCCGAGCCGCTCCGGGGTCCCTAAACACCAGGACCCTTTTCCATGTACATTTGCCCCATCTTTGTGCTCCGGAATGAGCTCTGCATCCCAGAGCAGCTACACGCTCCCATGTCGAGGGTATTCCCGTGCCTGGGAATCACCCCCAGAAACTGGGATAGCTCCATAGGAGCCTCCCGGTCCCTCCGAGCGTGTGGGGCCTTTCACGGAGGCCCTTTGAACCGCAGGAGCCTCTCATTCCCATGCTGATCCCCGTGGCTCCTCGTAACCTTTTAAAGTCCCTCTCAAATATATTCAGTCTACAACTAAATTCAATTAGGAGTTTTTTCTTATTTGGGAGGAAAAAAAAAAAGAAAGAGAAATCCAATTTTGGTCAACGCGGCACAGACGGGAGAAGGGGCTTTGAAGTGACGCCCTCTCGGGGCCGCTTTACTTAGTCACAAGTTCATAAGCAAAAAAAAGCCTAATGACTTGGGAAAACACGGGATTAAAGCGGGCCACAAAGGCGGGATATCCGCCGCGTCCGTGTGCCGAGTTCGTGTGTGGTGCCACCTTTGACGTGACGAGTCGTGACCCCCTCGGGGCTGTCCCCGCTCCCGGTTGGGCTCCGCTTTGATGTGCGATGTTTGCCGGGCCGGCACCCGGAGCCTCCCGGCGCCGCGGGGGGACAAAGGGGCCCATTCCAAGGGGCCGCTGGAGCGGAACGGCCTCCTCCGGAGGAGACCGGGCGGGAATTACCCCGGATCGGGTGGAAACGCGGGCGGAAACGGCCCCGGGCTGCTCCCTTGGGCCAAAAACACCCGGAAAGCCCCGCTGTGCGGGCCGCGGTGTTTGCTTTTCCCACGTTTTGGATGGATGTCGGCTCAGATTGGGAATTAGGGAGCGCTTGGATCCCTAGAGCTTGTCGCTCCCGGGATAACGATGCGTTTAAGGAGGCGAACGGGAGCACCAGCCCTGCTCCCAACACTGGGATGCGCCCGGGGCTTTTCCCGCCTTTGCAGGGAGCATCGGGAATGTGGCGAGCGGAGCAAACGGAGCACGGGAAGCTGCTGGCTCCGACTCCATAACATGGAATTCGCCCCTGGAATTTTAAGTGCCGAGATGGGCCCTTTGGAATGCCCGGTGGTGCTTGCTGCTTTTCGGGATCCGCCGCAATCCCTTTGCATGCATCGGGCCGGGAATTAGTCGGAATGTGGCTCCTTTCCCTCCCTGCTGGAGCCGATCCGACACACAGCCTTGACTGACATCCTAGCCCCATTCCATGATGAAAATTCCAGCGGGATGCGCTGGCATTAGGTGAGCTGGGGCTCCTTGCGACACCTGCATTTGATTTTGGGGCATTTTCCAGGCATTTGATTCTCCTTGCATCCAAAGTTGCAGGAGTTTCAGGAGCCGCTTTAAAGCGTTTCCTTCCTTCTCCTGGAAAGGGATCCCTTTAAAACGGAGGATTTGGGAAGAACACGGCTCCCCTTGGCCGAACCTGGTTTAATTTATCTAAATTAGGTGTTAATTAGGCGCGCGCCGCCTCTGTTAAAGGAAACAACGAAACTCTTGAACAAAAAGTCCCAGTTTAGGGGAGCGGAATTCCCTCTGCCCGCGCCTTCCCGGGAAAGCTTCCCTTTCCCAAGGCTGCTGTTCCTGGGGATTCCTCCCGGTTCTCCTCCCGGCGCATCCCGATGCTCCGGGCTGGAAACCAGCTCCCTCTCGTCCGGCACAGCCCGGCAGCTCCTTCTGGACGATCCTGCTCCGTGCTGGATCCTTGGCCTCCCGGCCTGCGGAATCCTCCTTCCTCCGGGAATTTGCTCCCTTTAGCTGCTCCCGACCTCCATCTCTCCCCTCCCTTCCATTTCCCATTCCCGGCTTTGCCGCCTTGCCCATCCCTTCTCCCGCCATCCCTCTCCGTTCCTTCCCGGCGCCTTTCCCATGGGAATGGCCTCAGCTCCCCTTGCCCTTCCCCATGTTCCCATGCAGACCCAGGAGCCGGAGCTGTTTGCCCATCCTCAGGACCGATCCCAGCGTGATCCCACGATCCCACCCCATCCTTGCCCTCCTTCCCGCATCCTTCCCGGAACGTTGCCCTCCAGCGGGAGCAGCCCCGTGCACGCACGGATGGTTTATCCCGGGATTGCAGCCGGATTTTCCCCCTCCCAAGCCCGACGCGCAGCTGGCTCCGCAGGGAAGGGGCTCGGGATCGATTCCCGGCGCTCCCGCGGATCGGAGCGCGGAGCGGCTCCGGCTTTGTCCGGGATCCCGGCGCGCGTCGTGCTTCAGCGGCCGCAGCTGCCGGCCGGGGCCATCGACCTCCCCGTGCTGCACATTTATTTATTTAACAATATGGGATACGCTGCTTTATTTAACAATATGTCCCCGTTAAGGGCACGGCATTCCGCAGGCCCTGCTCCGAGAGCCCGGAGCGCGCGGCGGGAAAAGCGGAATCACAGCGGCCTCCGGCCCCTTCGTTTCCCCTTTCCCCTCTCTTTCTCCTGCACCAGCTCGGCTCTTGGTTGTTAATGAGTAATTAATGATATAATTAACAGCTATTAGCCGAGGGGGTGCAGAAGGGAGAGACTCCGGCTGCCTCCGCGGTGCCTCATCCAAAGAGGGAAAAAAATCCTTGGATTCTGCTAATGCATTTTGGGGGTAAACGGGAGAGGAGCTGGATCCCAGAGCCAGGCGCAGACGGGGGGAAAAACAGGAATTAAGGAGCAGGGGCCCTTCCAAGGGCCTTCCCGAGGCCCTGGGCCTCTCCGGATCCCGATGGCAGGGGTGCATTTGCAGGAGCGGTTTCCCGGAATTCCAGCAGTTCCGACCCAGGCTTTGGAGGCTGCGATTCCTCCCGCCGCTGTCCCCCCAGCTCCTCATTTTCAGCGTATGCTGCCTCATTCCTTAAAACATCTAATTAAGCTCGTTGCCTTAACCGTGCTGGGAATGCCGGAGGATTCCCGGGGAGGATTCCCTGGGATCGCTCACCTTTTCCCTCCCGTTGTTTCTCCCTATCCCGGAGCAGCGTCGTGAAGATCCTGCTGGCGGCCGGTGCCGATCCCAACCTCGGTGACGACTTCAGCAGCATCTACGAGACGGCCAAGGAGAAGGGCCTGCATTCCCTGGAAGGTAATTCCATGCCGTGCGCGCTTCCCGCCTCCCCGCTATCCCTCTCCTGCCTTTCCAAGGGAGATTTCACTCCTTATATTTTTTCCGGCTCCCTTCAGTTCCCATTTCCTGATTTACACACGAGTGGGATGTGCTGGGATCCCCGAGGAAACGTAATGCAGATGCTTAGCAATCCCTCAAATCCCGGGAATAGCTCCCAAATAGCGGGAACACAACGCCAAGCTGGGCACCTCATCCCACAGATCCGCACGCACCGGCTTCCCGGCACGGAGTGGGGCTCGGAGCTGGATCCTGGCTGTGGATATAGGATGAAGGAGGGATTTTCCTGCCCCGTCGTCGGATCCCGTTAGGATCTTTCCCGCCGGGACCACGGGGAGACGGAAGGGAAAAGCTGGAAGTTATGCCGGAGCAGCCGGGCTCGGCGGCCTTGGCACAACGGAGCCGGCTGCCGGCATTCCCGGGAATTGCCAGGTCCGCATGGAGCGCGCTTTGTGCCCCTGTGCTTAGAAATCCACCCTTTTCCTACTTAGTGCAAGGAAAAATGGAGCAGGGCGCGTGGCCCGTGCGGATCAGAGCAGCCCCTGGGCTCTCCAGAGCCAAAAAAGCACCAAAACAGGAGCCAAAAAGCACCAAAACCCGCCCAAAACCCCCCGCTTAGGGACATGGATCCGTGCGGGGACAGCTGGGACAGGGCCTCATTCCATGTCGGAGCATTCCCGCCGCGCCGCAGCCGGCAGCACGGCTGCAAAACGCATGAAACAACGTTAAAAAACGAGCAATGGAATGCCAATCCATAATGCATGTCCACGGAGTTTATTTAAGACAAAGTATATCAGCCAATAAAGTTAATTGTTTTTGTCCGCATCCATCCCTCTCTAATGTTATATATTTTTGGGCTGAGGAAAAGATAAGGCCATTCAGCAAGAAGTTGCATTAATTCTTTGCTTGACATGTTTTATTAAAAAGAATAAATTCAGTTGCATTTTAAAAAAAGAGAGGGCGAGAGCGAAACTGCCTTTGTTTTTCCTTCCCTTTTCCTCCCCGCCCATTTACATATTCCGCGTATAAATATTTTTTCATAAAACCATCCCAATCGAGAGGCTTCGCTCCGCGAGCGCCGCGCAAAATATATTACAGACATTTATATGGATGGCAGGAAGGGAGACGGAGGGCTGAAAATTTCCAGGCACCCGGTGATGGATGGCGGCCGAGGCTTCCCCTGACGCTTTATTGAGTTTCCGATGATTATCCCTCTCCGAGACATTTTTTACGGATGACGGCCGAGCTGTCACGCCGGACCATGGGGGAAAAGAACCCAACAATAATAACGCTTTAATCTCTTTACCGCGCTGCTCCCTAGTATCTCAGATTCATCTTCCCTGACGCACGCAGTTCATTATCCAGCCCCTCCCTGGGTAGGAAATGACGACAAATAAATAAATATACACGGATGCCCTGGATGCTGGGAGGGAGCCGGGGCGCTAATTGGTGCTCCCGGCTCCGTTCGCTGCCGTTTCCACGAGGACGTTCCCAACCCTTTGGAAACGCCAGGGTTGGAGCCGCGGAGGCCCCGTTCCCCGTGGGAAGGGGACGGGATAACTCGGTGGCTCGGGCCACCTCGTGACAGTGGAGCAAAGCTCCGAATCATCGTTAATTTGGGAAAGCATCCATTTCCAGGGAAAGGGAACGTCACCGCTCCCGGGCCTGGTTTCACCACACCTGCCGGGATATAATTGCATTTACGGAGGGGATTCCGGCCCTTTTAATGAGCCCTAAAGTGTATTACCGTGAGCGATTCCCCAAATATTCCCAAGGAATATTTGCTGGAATTAACCTCCAGCCAAAACCCCCAGCAAACAGGCGGGAAGCGGCCGGGATTGCGGGATAACGGTGTCGGGATTGCGGGATAACGGCGGCCCCCGCTGTCCCCGCAGTGCTCATCGCGCGCGAGGACGACTTCAGCGCCCGGCTCAACGTGCGCGCCAGCT